ACTAGAATTAAGGTATTTATCACGAATTGACATAAGCTAAAATGTAACATCGCTAGTCGGCCAAATGGATGAATGAATTTTGCAGTAAAATCCGAAACTCGAAATCTGATTATCTCGTTTATAAATTATAGTCTCATCGAATAGTTTTTATTCATTGCAAATTGATCTCACTTAAGCTTTCATTGAACACCTAGCGCAAGACATAGGTCCTGGCCTCGAATCTCGCAAGGCGGGGTCATAGATGCGCACTGCTGAGGAGTCCCATACTAGGACGAAACGGCCGTCCACTGCTGTCAAGTTCTTCATGGTGGTCTAGCTTCAAATGACTCATGATCTAAACCAATGAAAATATTAAGTCTCTGTTTCGTCCTACTATGATGCTTTTTAATAGAGTACATTCATCATGTGACCAGAAATCGAACTAACCACGTTCATTTCTCATGAAGAACACTCCAACACTAGAACCACTTGATCAAAGTTCATTAATATAATTCTAATTTCAATTAATTTACCAGATAGTTTAATAATCATTAAACTCTACTAAAGGTAATTGTTTCAATCCTGTTAAGCCTGAACTTCACTAATCACTGTAGTGAACACAAACATGAGTGGGGACAATCGAATGTATTTGATACGAAATTACAGAGCATTTCAATAAAATTTGGGAGCCACATAGTAAATAGTTAATTTGCAAAATATCAATCCATCGTCTCAAATTTGACTGTTCTTTTTTACAAATATCAGTCCATTGCCTCAATTTTCATTGTTTATGCATTTTCATACCGATTGCGTTCTATTTCTTTTCTTTACTTATCGATCTTCTACTGAAATACATTCTATGTCTGACTTCATTTATATACTACTAATATAGGTTTAAGTAACACACCATAATCACTTCTTCAACTCAGAACTATATGACTATCTTGAAGTTAATTATTTCAAAAGTGTATTCTAAGAGATTAGTTTTAATTTGTAGATAATATTTTTCACAGGATAATAAAAGACCTTACTTAAATGAACAAGAGAATGTGAGTGAAATAACTTTACAATATTTCACTAAAACTGTGAACGAGAACACCACTCTAAGTAGAATCCGTGTTTCCCCTTCCATCTAAACAAGTTGGTGAAGCATAGTATGCCTTTCTGTAGAGAAACAGGCCACATCAAAGCACGACACAACTACCGGGGTTAGAATAGCTGTTTTTACAAGCGGTTGAAGTTATCCGAGCAGGATGCAACCGCGTACAATCCATGCACCACTTTTGTGAATTTTTTGTCGTTTTTCCATCCAGGAATTATTGTGCTGTGATACTTTGTGGATTTTGTAATCAGATTGTGGTTATCGGTCGAGTAGGTGATTAGCCCGATCTTTACCCCCCTGGGTTACCGTTCACGTTAATTCATAGGACTGAGTCCCACTAACCAGGAGGCACGATGAGAAAGTGTGAGTCAGCTTTTACCTCGCAGAATCTGTAAATCCATATTGAAAAGGTATCAGTCAATCGTCTCTGACTTCATTGTTCCCTCATTTCCACACTAATCATTCTTTGTTCTCATTCTTTTCTCTTCAATCTTCTTCATCTTCTGCCATTAGACATTACACTTTCGATTAGATGATATGTACTACTTATATCTATCGATATCAGTAGTACATACCACAAACACACATACACAGTAATGTTTTGTTTCTTTTTCTTCCTTTTCTTTGTTTTTTTTAATCTCAATAATTTAACATGAATATTCATTTAAAACAACATGTCTTAATTGTGAATGATTCTTCTATTTCAATTGTACATTCCATTCCATATGGTTTATATTCACATGAATTAAATTTTTATTTTATTATTACATTAAAGTTAAATATACATAAATTGAAATTCACTTATTCACTTTAATTCTTTTAAGTAATTTCATATCTATTCATGTTATCATGATGCTTTATAAAGAAGAAGAAGAAGAAGCAAAAGAAAAAGAAGAAAAAGAAGAAAAAAAGAAATAAAAAAAGAAGAAAGGTAAAAAGAAAAAAGAAAAAAAGAAGAATAAATCTTACTTATTTCTATGTCTCTTATAAGTAATACTGATTGTGAATTGAGAACAGATTCAATATTCGAATAACAATCGAATAACTAGTAGGGGGATTAAAATAAATAGGATAAAATAGTTGCTAAAAATTGGGGAAAAAACGAAGTGGGTGTGTTGTGTTTTTTTTAGGGGGGGGGCGTGTGTGTGATAAAATGATAATAACAATTAAAAGAAATCTATCTATCTTTTATTATATAGATGTGTATAGAATACAAAACATTTGCTTTCAAGTGTACATTACAATGATTTGATACTACTATTACTATCACTACTACTACTAATACTACTATTACTACTGCTATCTTATATCATTCCAAGTAGAGCATTGTCTATTCCCCTTAATTTCCCTCTAACTGTGTGTGTGTATATGTATATATTTGTCTTAATCTATTTGACTAGACAGTTTTTTTTACTTTTAAAAGAAAAAGTCTACAACACATGAAACTTATCAAACCCCATTTAAAACTTTCCATGAGAAAAACAAGAAAAGAAAACAGTCTTCTTTTGTTGTTGTTGTCGTTGTTCATGTTGTAGTTGGTCAATTCACTTTCGAATGTTTTTCTTCTTCTTCTTCTTTATGTCAATAAAAATGACTTCATTATTAAATTAAATGAAAATAAAATATAGAAAGGATACATTTAAAACAATTGGACATTGATACATGTGGTTATTAAGATAGTGAATTATGAAAATAATTTCGTATGAGGTTTTCTTTAAAATATCTTAATGTATTTGACAATGATACATAGATACATTTTCTTTTTTTTGTTTTTGTTTTTATCATGTCAACTGATGATCATAAAGTTTATAGAATAAATGATGATTATGATAAAAGTCTATTGAGTTAATAATATAATATTGAATTGTAATTGATTAATCACTGCGTAGTGATCTATGTCATGTGTCTCAGATCTTCTTTAGTGTAGATCGAATTCTATTGACCAAGTTGCGTTGAGATATGATGGTGGTTGGATGTAGTCAATAGGAAACCCTGGACTCAGGTTTCATGCTAATTGGCACTCGTCAGAAAGGTGTAGCTGTAATCTTGAGGAAAATGGTGCTTTCTGACGGATTTGATCCCGTGTCACCCAGCTTTAAAGTTAGAGATATAAGCACTGAGCTATCTGCGCCTCAACCGATTTCCTGTAGGACTGACATGTATTCATAATTGATTGATCACTGTGTGGCGATCAATGTCATGTGTGTCAGGTCCTTTTTAGTGTAGATCGAATCCTATCGACCAAGTTGTAATATGGCCATTATTCTAGATGACTCAACATTGTGTGTACTATGTTGAGATAAGATATTGGTTGAAGGTAGTCAACAGGAAATCCTGAACCAAGGTTTTGTGCTAATTGGCACTCGTCAGCAAGGTGCACTTGTATTATTCTTGAGAGAACTGATGTTCCTTGATAGATTCAATCCCGTGTCACCCAGCTTTACAGTCAGAGATGTTACTAATATTCAATTGTAAACTGAAAAAAAGGAATAAGATTACAGAAGCTATAGTAGGTACTTAATATAAGACTTGTATTAGAACTCATGGAGGTCAACTTCCTTATCATCAGAAGTCTTCATCGATATTGAAATGCTGAATAAAAAGCATATAAAAGTTTAGAGGAAGATTTTCTTAGAAGAAGACATGATGATGTTTATAAGAACATATGTCAGTTCCAGATTCTGTAGGGTTTGGAAGAACATAATAAAGTTGACAACATACTAATCAAAACAACCAAAGCATGCTCGATAGTCTCCCAAATTAATCCTGACAATTTGCATAGATCTCAACATGGTCAGTATATTCCCAGAATTCTTGCTGACTGAAAGATCTTTTCGAGAAATTATCCACCGTTTTTTATAGTATTCAATGTAAAGAATGTTCATGATAGTTTTACAAAAAATATTATGCCCACTGTACGGTCAAAAGTGAATCTCTATAAATCTAGAAAACGTTTTTGATTGGAATCATGAACTGATTGATATTAGACCACCACTGAAAACCTGGAAGCACTAAACTGAAGGTTGTGGGTCCGAATCCCGCCAGCGGGATCGTGGATGAACGCCGTTCAGGAGTCCCACAATAGAACGAAAAGACCTTCCAGTGCTTCCAGGTCTTCACTGGTGGTCTAACATCAATCATTTCATGATCTCAATCAAAAACTTGATAATCTCCAAAACCCTATACTGATATCTAGAAAAATTGTTTTAATCTATGTGGAAACATTCTCAGATAATTTCATAGACCCAGAAAATTTGCAGATTAAACTAGTAAACATTGTATATCCGACTATTAAGCTACATAATCTTCAATAAGTGATTACAGGTTGATGAAAATTCTGAAAGTTAGAACGGTTTAACTATCCTTAATCTCTTACCATTATTTGATTTCACAGTTGATGTCACTTCCAATGAAAAAATTTACCACAGGTATGCAACCATCCCTGAATTATTTTTTCTGGTTAGCGTCATTGGTGAACATTGGGGATTTGATATAGATGTGAAGGTGTAAATCGGTTAAGCAAGGGTAGCATATCTACAATTGGAGAACATCTGGAATATAAAACAACTGTGGCCTATGCTCCACTGGGGGTAACAGGCGTCAGTACGTAAGTAGTGCAACCACCCACAAATCTTCAGCATGGAGAAAGCTTTCAGAGACGTGTAGAAACTAAAAAACAACGTAAGTTAAATAACCATTAAAAAAACACAAACCATGTAGTACTGGCTCAGTGGTCTAAGATGAAAGCGTTCCCTACGAGATATTTGATCTCTGAATTAGATCCTCGGTCATAGATATGCATCGCTGCGGAGTCTTATGTTACAACAAAACATATATCCAGTTAATGATTTCAAAATCATCTACAAACTATCTGTTTCAAATGTTTTTCTTTTCATTAATATATTTTTTTAATTTCTAGATTACCGTTTACTTAATATACCATGTGGTGTTTGTGGTGATCGTTCTACTGGAAAGCATTATGGAGTATATAGTTGTGATGGTGAGCTAAAGAATAACCCTGTATGATTGTTTCTATTCGTTTTTTTCATACGAATTTTTCAACCATTTTGTTTGTTATTCATTAAAACAAATCTTGAATTGTAATGTATGCTACTGATATCGATAGATATAAGTAGTATGTATCATCGATCGAAAGTGAAATGGCTGATGATCGAAGAAAGGGGAGCGAGAACAGAAACTGATTGATGTGGAAACCAAGAAACCATGAATTATGAGACTATGGATTGATATTTTGAAAATGAATTATCTACTGTATGGTTCTTTGAATTTACTAAGAGATTCTGTAATTTTGTGTTGAAATATATTCGATCGTCCCAATTGTGTTATCGTTCACTACAAAATGTGGTAATATATTGCATAAATGATTTTCAATTTATCTACTATTCAACACAATGAAGATTTCACAGTTCAAGTGAATCTTTCTGTCAGTGTCGTGTTTATTGATAAAAAGGGTTTAATTTCACAATTGATTGATCACTGGGTGGTGATCAATGTCACGTGTGTCAGGTCCTTCTTAGTTTAGATTAAATTCTATCGACCAAGTTGCAATGTGGCCGCCAATTAGGTGACTTGAAATTACGTGCAGTATGTTGAGATAAGATGGTGACTGAAGGTAGTCAACTGAAGACCTTGAACCCAGGTTTCGTGCTTTTTGCACTCGTCAGTAAGGTGTACCTGTAATTTTGAGAGAACTGGTACTCCCTGACGTTGGTCCAGAGTTTGCTGTTGACTACTTCCAACCACCATCTTAAAAATTCATTTTCTAATGCACTTTTAGCGACTTATTAATCATTGACCTTGTGATTAATTGATCTTCTCCCAGAAAATCTCTAATATAAACAATTGGGTTACCAATAATGTTGTTTAAAATAACATTGAATCGTTCACTATTTGAACAACAAATCACATAGAATATAATCCTAACGAAAGTTTCTAGGGTAAAACTTTTGAAAGTTTACATTTACCTCATTTAAACTATTCAAAACATTCAATTAAACTGTAAATTTCCCCCAAATCCCCTGATATGGTCGAGGGTGTAGAGAGTCCATTCTCACATGGTCACGCGTATACAGCCACCACCATGGGACAGAATCTCCAACTGTTGCTCCACTACCTTGTGGATTAGACTTTTAGGTCGAAGGATTCAGATGTGGCGCACTAAGAAAATCATCTTCTCCGGTTTGAGCACCCGGGTATTATTACTGCCCACACACAAATCAAGTGACTTGTGTGGTTCATATGTATTCAGTGCCCCTTTGTACCAATACTTATATGAAATTATTAACATCATTCAAATAGATCATGATTCATTCGATCAAACAGTTTTGTAATGATACCTTAAGGAATAACAAATCTCACTCTCTATTATACTTCTTATCTTATAAGCAAATTATATTACTACCCCATTAAGTTTATCATTTCTAATTATTTTTTTTCACGATTCAGGATGTTCTGGATTTTTTAAAAGAAGTATTCATAAGAATCGTTCATATACATGTAAAGCAAGTGGTAATTTAAAAGGTAAATGTACCATTGATCGTCATCATCGTAATCATTGTCGTGCATGTCGATTAAATAAATGTTTTCTAGCACAAATGAATGAAGAAAGTAAGTGCATATTGTCTTTTCTTTGTGTGTGTGTGTACACATAGATTTTTATTTCTGATACTGTAAGTCATTGTAACACTTGAATGAATAGTTATCCAGTGTTATGGATATTGATCCGTACGTAATAAGAAAAAAACCTTTCATAAAATCTAATTAGATGGTTTCTAGACAACTACATGACTAAGATCCGACTGATAGAATCTACTTTGAGCTATATGATTTTATGTAAAACTTGATAATAAAACCTGATTATTGATAAGTCTTGCAGATTGAACGCTATATTCGTTTCCTAAGCTATTCTGTAACCCGCAAGTTAGAACTATACAGCGACCTGAACACGAGAAAGAAGACGCAAAGTATGCGAGAAGTACTTTACTCCAAGGTTCATTTTTGTACAGAAAAACACGGGTATTTATAGATGTTAACATTTGTTTAATCAACATCATATTTTGGCCAATCCACTAAAAGACATATTATGCTACTGACCAATAGTAGCACGCCACGTTGATATTCTAGAAAGCTCCATCGTGCTTTGATTGACTAGAACGCTTCGGCTCCTTTAGGGCATCTGGAGGCTCTATTGCAGTTCTCGGAAAGCCGACTCAACAATTATTCAAACGTAAATAAGTAAAGATACAGTTCGAAACCTTTACTCTTTGATTTAAAGTTGAATGCTTTAAACGTCTAATCATCATTAAATCATGAAGCAATCGAGAGTGTAACCACAATTCATTTGATTAAACTTCTCTCAATGATAAGTTTGCAAAGGATTTCATATCAAATGTAGTTAGATGATTAAAGGTAACTGAATAATCCTTAATTTCATAATCCCTTAGATTTATTAGTACATTTCATTTAAATTCTTCACAGTATTAATCCTTCCGTAAAGACTTGAACAAGAGATTTTGAGTTGTTTAATTTGATGGTTGTACTGTAAATATGATCGATAGATAGTGAGTGGTAATGAGAAATGACTAACTGTTAGGATCGTAGTTACTAAGTCATGACTGAATACTATTAGTCTATTAGTAGTGTAGTGAACGAGGATACAGATGGGGGACAATCGAATGTATTTGAACATCAAAATTATAGAATCTTTTAATAAAATCTAAGAACCAATCAGTAAATACTTGACCTGCAGAAAAGTCAATCAATTGTCTCAAACATGACTGTTCCTTTTGAAAATATCAATCATCAATCGCCTTACACCTAATTGTTCCTGCATTTCCATACCAAATACTTTCTGTTCCGATTCTTTCCTCCTCGATCTACTTAAATTTCTGCTGCCAGACATTCTATTCCTGAATATCTTTATATACTACTTATGTCGATATAAGTAGCACACACCATGTAGCCTAGAAGGATAATGAAAGATTCATGATTAAACTATCTGGCTAGGAGAAAACACTTTCAACCGAAATCATCCACTTGAGCTAGAAATCTTTTTCACCATCTCATATATATATATATATATATATATATATATATATATATATATATATCCTATCGATTTTTTGTGATGGTCTTGATGACGTGTTTTTGACAAAACTTCATGAAGTTAGATTTTATTCCATTTTTGAGATCCTTCAACATACCGGATCATTTCAGACAGAAATATTTGAGTAGTGATTTTAGTTAGATAAGTCATCCACTTACAGGAGTTCGCTAACATCCTTACCTTTCACTCATTGCGTAACCTTACAACAGTTTATGTCTCACCAATACTTTTCGGTGTATTAAATACAAATTGTAGTTGATTCATAAAAGAACTGTTACTGTGTTTTTGTTATTCCCAAATTAACTATAACACTAATATAATTGATCTACGGTATAGATACATTCCCCTGTTTTCATGAGCGATTGAATTTATTCACTAGTCAGTAACTGAATTAACAGATTAATCTCGAACTTGTCAATTTCAAACTTCATCTCACCCCAAGTCTGTTCTTTTTACGCTATGCGCTATACTACTTAATTGTAACCAGTAGTTTGATTAATATAAAACAATTCATATGACAAATGTGCTGTAATAGATGACGTTTATCACAATAAACCACTCATCTCATCCATTTGTACATTTATTTCTTTATTCTATTTATAATCATACTCTTATTCTTTTCATAGTTTCCTCTTCTTTGTGTATATTATTTACTTACTTACGCCTGTTACCTCTCATGGGGGAGCATAGCCCCCCCACCAGCACTCTCCATCCAACCATGACTTAGGCAATCCTTTCTATATGTCCATTCCAAAAGCCTTGGGGTGAATTAATTTTTTATCAGTTGGTGATATGCTCACTTGACATATCTACATCATTTTTTCTTATTTAAAAGTCTTGTTATAACTTTATTTTTATTCACTGATCTTAAGGATCTAATATATATGTAATTGAGTCTTGTTAGGGTAAACTATCAGCCAGACAACACATTATTCTTGTGATGGTGGAGATTTGTAGCTTAGCTAGATAACTTAGGTGGAGTTTTATTCTCTGAGCTGAATGGTTTGCTCATGGAACTTTGATTGTTCTTTTGAAGAACATCATCAGCACATAATTCAGATAGAAGTAAAGTGTTTGGATTTCTTTACATATGACTCACAGCTCATCCTGTTGACCTCAATCTTGATTGGTTCTTTTTTACCTTTAACCTGTCATTCTTCACTTCTTTATTTTGAGTGTATTTTCTATTGATTTGATTCTTGGTCCTATATTTGTTCATGATTTTTCTGATTGGTTCAATTCCATTGTGTTTGTTGATGAACCTAAGTGTCAATCTTCAAAAAAGTTTCTGCTATTTTAGAATTCCCTCTATCAAAGATCTCAACGTTTTCTCAGTCGAATGTATATCCACAGTTGTCCACATGGATTGATATAAGATAGGATATGTCATAGCGTTTGACGACTAGTTTATGTTTGTACAGCTGAAGAGGAAGAGGGACGTCAAGTTTGTACAATGTAGTGTTTTTCACAATTGCAACAATTTATTTTATTAGATGATATTCGATTTTTCTTCTTTTGTTAAGATTGACTAACAATCAGACAACTCAGTTATCAAAATCTTTCTAAATCCATTCATACTGCTCTAGTTTAATTTCTGTAGTAGAACTGTCATTAAAACAAAACTGCCCCCCTGAGATTCAAGACATTTACGGTTTACTCCATCTGTACACACATAGAGTGCATGAATGATGATGATGCGTTAGTAGTTTTACAAATGCTTGTTTCATCCTTAAGTGACACTCATCAATAGTGCATGTTCATGAAATTGTAAACAGGAATCAAAACTTTTATATTTGTTAAATTTATGTTCTGTTACCAAGGACAAATGAGTTACGTAAGAAATTGAATACAAGTTTTCTATAGTATATATTCACTAGTATTATTCAGTAGTAATAAACAACTAAGCTTTGAATTCACTTGCTATTGTTTATTTGAATCTTCCCATTGATCTTTAAAAGCTGCGATCGATCAGGCTCTTATTGGCATATGTGCATATTGTATGGATTGTCTCGATATTATCTTAATTCATACGCTAATTGGATAACGCGATAACGTTTGAAGCGAATGGTACTGGGTTCGAATCCCAGAGTGAACATTAACTCGGATGCAGGTACATCCAGTTGAAGAGTCCCAAATAAGACGAAACGCGTGACCTGGATTCCACTACTAGCCACCATCCGTCTTTGATTATAATTAAGTTTTGATTGAAATGAATGAACACATCTGGACTGAAATAATAGGAGTATTGGATTAACAGTAGATTTAGATCCCTTTGTGATTGAATTGGATTTATATTGATGCTTGGCACTTAAAATCACCAGTAATTGTGTTAGAATAAAAATAACACTGATAATCGAATAACGAGCAATTGTATTGTAGTGAAACAAATAAAGGACTGCATCAGAATGATCTATTCTATATTGTGTTGAAATGAATACAAACTGTTGAGAGCATCAATTAACCAGTGTACTTCAGGTATTTATACATCAATACAGTAATAGAATAGAATTAACAAATGAATGGATAGACAGGTAACCAGACAAATGAATATTGGGAAGATTTACATATAAGGAGTTAACCAATAGTGCTAAATGAATGTATTTGATAGTTATATTCTCAGTTGGATAATATATTTTAAAATGAGTATACAATTACGTTGATTTAACATATATGTATTATAATCAAAGATGGGTTTTGTAGAGAATGTAGTAATTTTCTGATAATTGAATTCATGAATCAATTGAAGCTAGATCATCATGAAAAACCTAGAAGCACTGGATGGCCTTTTCATTCTAGTATAGGACTCCTCAACAGTGCATACCCACGATCCCGCTCCTTGAGATTCGGAACCAGGGTGTTAGGTCCCGAGAAATATAATGAATGGTAACTTTGAGATCCTTTTTTGAACAACTACTTGACGTGTATTTTTATTGTATAATTGTTAAATAATTAAACTATTCATATTCACATTCCTCTTATTATAAACGTTATTCTGACTTATGAACCATTATTATACGATTTACCACTCATGAATTATTTCCTGTCTGTTAATCGCTACCTCCTTCATTCATAGCCACATCTGGCTAATTCTTGTACAATTGTTGTTTCATATTTTATTAGTACGTTGTGGTCGGTTTGATGAATATATAAATTCAGTATGTTTGAAATATAAGGATTCATATTGCAGAGGCTCAGACTGGTGTTCTGGACTTAACTGTCTGGGTTAGTCGGAAACCAGGACCAATCAGGAATCTAGGCTGCTCGCAGGTGTTTTACGCGTCCTTGGTCCAATCGATAATTCGCTGCTTCTAATTGGCGGCTTTGGGCTATAACACAGGGTTTATCAGTTTCGTGAGCGAACGTTTAACCTCTAAACCACTAAGCCGGAATCCAACAGTGTTAATGTCAGATTTTCAATAGTTGTCTAACTGTGAATGGCTAGTGATTTCAATAATCTCCTTAGGCAATCATTAAAGATTAACAAAACACACAGAAGAGTTATTTTATTCAATTAGAATGTATTGAATACTTGGAACCCAATAATCCTATCAAAGATTAAACACAAAACTTCTTGGACACATAGCTAAGATATCTATGATGTAAACTACTTTCAAATTAAAAAAAACTTTCCAAAAATATCTAATCTTAAGAAAAATAAACATAATATTATTGTTATCTTATATATATATTTCTAGGTGTTCAACATGAACGTGGACCAAGAAAACCCAACAACAACAACAACAACCACAGCAACAACAATAACCATAGCAACAATAAAAATTTTCTATCAACAATAAAATCTACAATAGAATCTATAAATAAATCAAATGATGATTATCCATTAAATCTTTCTATGAATCATAATCATTTAATCAATAATAATCATAATCATAATCATAATATTGATTTAAATGATCAAATAAAAAATCAATATCTAATCAATAAATCATTCAAATTGAATTCATTAAATATGGCGCCAAATGTTTTAGATGAAAAAGATAATTTAAAATTATTGATTAAATTATTAAACCATTCTGATATATATAAACAAACATTGAATGATTTAATCGATAATAATAATAATAATAATAAAATCAATCAATATTATTTAAATAATCAATTAAAATTGAATCAATATACAATGAATATTGATCAACAATATCAATATAAAAATAATATTGATTATTTATTATTAAATAATTGGTTATTGACAATTTTTAAATATTCTGATATAATCAAGAATGGAGAAAGTCAATTGACAACAGATTATTATTTAAATTTATACAAACATTTACAAGAAGGTATGTTTTTCATAGTATAATTAGAAATAGTGGTGGTGGAGGGTGTTATGTGAACTATCTTAGAAAACCTGAAAGTATTAGAGGATTGGTTTCGTTATAGTTAGGGGCGGCCAAACCAAAACGTGGTATCAGTCAATGAAGTCACTAACTTCTAGTCATGATGGTAGATGCAGACTACTTGGTTGAGGTTCGCGGGACTACCATAACCAATGGTTGGAGACTCTTGGTGACATGGCTCAGAATCAATCACAATGGCGTCGGTGCATACACTTTCTGTCTTCTCTTAAACTATGAGATTAAAATCGCTTCATATTTTTCCACGAACTAATTCTTTCTTCCTGTACTATATCCTTAGATGCAATCTTTCTTTTATATATTACCACTACTTTTATGAATCCTGTGTTCATCTTGTTGTGTTAATGAGGCATGACAACTTGGACCGATGTGTATATATGCCTGGTCCTACGTTGTAGCTGACTGACTGACTATAGTTAGGGGATTCATCAATAGGGTTTATTTATGATTATGTATGTGGGACTCGAATTCAAAATATTCAATCTTGTATGTGAATGTTAAACTGTTGAATATTTGCTCAATGATTTAATGGTTAAATGTCCGAATGTGAGATTGAAAGTTTGAGTTTGGATGTCATGTAAGGGATCGTGTGATTGGGTACTATTGAGGAGTACCATACTAGAACGAAACATACGTTCAGTGCTTTCATGTTTTTCAATAGTGTTCTAACTTAGATTGATTCATGAATTCAATTGTTAAAATTTTAAATTACACGAATATAAGTACTGGATTTGATTGTTAACCACCATCCAAGGTATTATCAACTTGTAAATGTTGATAATATCAGGATATAATTCGTGATTGTACGCGGTCTAAGAAAAATCTTGGATCCAGTTTTCATGACAATTAACATTCGTCAACAATCAGATCTGTAATCATGAGGCAACTGACTCTCTTCGAAGGATTCGAACCTACATCACTCAACTAACAGAAAAGCTCGATCTATGGTTTTCTATGCTTCACGTTTAATCACGAAACATTAAAACAATGCATGGAGAGTTGAATCACTTAGACTAGAAGTCACATTACAATCTGATCGATAAATACCAATCAATGTTAAAAGAACTAAACAACCATGACAATGGTCACTCACTCAGAGACTAATTAGTGTAGAAATCGAGATATTATTGTATTATTTACCTCATATTATCAAAGGATTTACTTAATTACTTACTTACGCCTGTTACTCCTAATGGAGCATAGGCCGCCGACGAGCATTCTCCAACCCACTATGTCCTCGGCCTTCTTTTCTAGTTCCATCCAATTGTTCATTTCTCTCATGTCTATCTTCACTTCCCGGCCTAATGTGTTCTTTCGTCTTCCTCTTATCCTTTGGCCTTGAGGATTCCATGTGAGGGCTTGTCTTGTGACGCAGTTGGGTGCTTTCCTCAATGTTTATCCTATCCACTTCCAGCGCTTCTTCCTGATTTCTTCCTCCACTGGGATCTGGTTTGTTCTCTTCCACAGTACGTTGTTGCTAATAGTGTTCGGCCGATGGATCTGAAGTATTTTGCGTAGACAACTGTTGATAAACATCTGTATTTTCTGGATGATTGCTTTCGTAGTTCTCCAGGTTTCCGCTCCATACAGTAGAACTGTTTTGACATTTGTACTGAAAATCCTGACCTTGGTGTTGGTTGACAGTTGCTTTGAGTTCCAGATGTTCCTCAGTTGTAAATATACTGCTCTTGCTTTGCTGATCCGCGCCTTTACATCTGCATCAGATCCACCGTGTCCATCAATGATGCTGCCCAATTATGTAGAGATTTTAACATCTTCCAAATCTTCTCCGTCAATTGTGATTGGATTGGTGCATGCGGTGATGTATCGGAGAATCTTGCTTTTCCCTTTGTGTATATTGAGATCTTCTGCTACTGAGACTGCTGCTACACTGGTCGTCTTCTCCTGCATTTGTTGTTGCGTTTGGGATAGAAGGGCCAGATCATCTGCGAAGTCTAGATCGTCCAATTGCATCCTATCTGTTCACTGTATCCCGTGATTCCCTTCAGATGTTGACGTCTTCATGATCCAGTCGATTATCAAAAGACAGCTAATCATAATTCTCCAGTTACAATAATAATAATAATAATAATAATAATAATAATAATAATAATAATAATAATAATAATAATAATAATAATAATAATAATAATGAAAGTGTAGAAATACAATTACATTTACAATTGATAATTGATCACCTCTCTTTCCCTTTTTTGTCTTCTCTTTCTACACAGCTCTTTTATCCAAAGTAAACAATCCCTTGATATCTGTTAATCAAGACAATAATCATTTAGATTTAAATACAAATTCATATTTAGAGAATAAAACAATGAAACATACTACTCAAATGAATTGGATAGATTTTATAAAATTAAATGAATGGAATAAAACAGAAATTGGTATACAGATTATGATAAATATGATTAAATGGATATTGAATCATTTCCTAATTGATAATATAAATATAGAAGATAATAGAAATAAGGTAAGCTTGAATGAATAAATGAATGAGTATTGAGAGAACTAGATAGAATGAACTATTGAATTATTTATTTATTTTAACACATAGATCTTGGTAAAAGGAAGCACCGAATACATATGCGTCACACAGATCTCATTTAATATGCCCTGGTACGGCCGAGAGTGGGAGAGTCCTCTCTCGCTCTCCAAATGCTCTCACATGGCCACGCGTATATAGCCTATGCCAGGGAAGTCGTACTCACTGCCTTCTCGTGGCGGAGATGTCGTTCACCAAATTGAGAGGATGTTATATCTTGTGACTGCCGATTAATGTGCAGTGACTTATCGATCGGATCAATGACACGTAAAACTGTATGAGCAGCCTAGAGTTCTGATTGGCCCTGCTTCATGCCTAGCCCAGCCAGTTGAGTTCAGAACACAAATCTCAGCCTCTGCGATGTGAATCATTATATTTCAAACATACTCTGATTATATACCAATCAGACAGACCACAACGTACCATAAAATAGAAAATAACATTTGTAAAATATTTGGCCAACAGGAAAATGACAAGTGAAATAAAAATTTACCAATAGGAAAATGATGCCATTCCAAGTCTAAGGATAGCATTAGACTTAACAGGATAATTTTTGGGATATTTTTCTGAATATCCCAACAGAGGACGAAAAGCGAACGTCCAGCGCTTTAACCGGGGTGGTGGACACGGAGAGTCCAATCAGGGGAGTTGGAAAACCCTGATTCCAAACCAATGGTGCACATGGGCTCCAGTATCCTGAAGGAACAAATGACATATGAATCAATCGTTGGTCACCGGCTACCATGAGACTGCATCTCCTTACGTTGCTCCAGTGAATTGTGGACCAAATCTTCAGGCTGGAGGCTCCGGGTGTGGCTCCTTGGGAGAACCACCTGATTCGGTTTGAGCACCCGTGCAGTATCACAGCCCTCACACATATCAAATGAGAACTGTTGTATTAATTCAATTGAAAGGTAGATTTCATCATGGATAAGATGTGTATTCTGATAGAGTTTTGTTCTCTGAGTTGAATGGATTGGTCGTGAAGCTTTCATTGTTCTTTTGAACGACATCATCATCAGCACAAACTTCAGATAGAAGTGAAGTGTTCGAATTTCTTCACATATGGTTTACAGCTTGTCTTGTAGACTTCAGTGTTGATTGGTTTTTGCTGACGTTAAACCTGTCATTGTTTGCTTCCTTGTTTTGGTTGTATCTTTGATTGGTGTATAATCAAACGAATATAAGATACAACCAAAACAAATAAGTAAACATTGACAGGTTTAACGTCAACAAGAACTAATGGAAATCGAGGTTTACAGGATAAGTTGTGAACCATATGTGGAGAAATTCAAACACTTCACTTCTACCTGAAGTTTGTGCTGATGATGATGTCGTTCAGAAGAACGATGAAAGCTCCATGACCAAACCATCGAGGTCGGAGAACAAAACTCCATCAAAATCATCCACCTGAGCTACAAATCTTCTCCATCATCTCAAGATTTGTATTTATTTGGTACTTTTATTAAGATGCATTTACGATGAAAACTTTAGAAAGGTATAGTTCAACTGTGTAGGAATATAGATATCATTGATTACATAGGATAATAATTAAGCACTATCGACGAATTAGCTATTAGATTTAAACTATGAAGTATTTATGTAACAAATTGGTCTCTAGATATGAAATTTCTGTGTTATATTGTTGGTGCATATTTTGGCTGTGCTCATTTGTATTTCTTCTTCAACCATGTAGATTAATACTCGTGAAATCTCTTGAATTAAACGTATTTCGAATGACCAATATACCTAATTCCATAGAAATAAATGAACTGATAAATTTATACCAAAATGATGAAATATCAGGACGTTCACTTAACCTCGAGAACAGATCAACTAGAGGACATTAATAGTTTCATAGTAATTAGATGCCGTATTAATGTAAGACATCAAGGAGGAGAAATATCTTTTTAAAATCTTAGTTTGGACCAGATTGTCGTTGAATTTACTTGAAATTCAGTCGCTGACATGTTACAAATATATTTTCCCTTAAAGAATATTAAGCTTAGAGTTAACACAAAGAATTTCGAAATCCTTCTTCTCAAGATATCCATATGGTCTTTAAGGTTCCAAGCATATTTCAGCTGCCAAGTCATGATTATACTTCCATGATCTGTTACATCATGATAAAACCTACTCAAAGCCACGACATTGCTGTTAATGGTAAAGAAAACCTAATAATTCTGAAATTAAAAATGTTTATAGGCAACTTGAGATGAAAGTGAAAAGTATGAAGTGGTCATATACCGTTAGATCGTTCCAAAATAATTTCAGAACTAAATTCTAATTTCGATAATGATATTAGAAGACGAAGATTATCAGAACTATGTGATATATTAGCGCAATACATTTCGAACAATCTGGTCACATAGTTCTGATAATCTTCGTCTTCTAATATCATTATCGAAATTTATCAAAGGGACTAATTGTTTTAAATTCTAATTCTTTAAATTCATGACACTGCCTCTTTCTTTTACTTACTCATTTAACTTACTTATAAGTAGTCAAAAAACTATTCACTAATTTATTGTGTTGTTTCTTTATTCTAGATGGACTTAAGTAATACGAATTGGATATTCTTATTCTATATTCATGTAATGGAATATATCAATCATAACTTCGATGATAAACATACAATTGAGTGTCCTAGTCATAATGAAAACCCGAAGTCAAATCATTTGAATGAATGTAACGATGTATTCATAAATCCTATTTTGACTAATCTGCTCAATATTCATGATTCATTGGAAGTGGGTATTTCATTGATTCAATATTTAATTAACTTTAATTTAAATAAAGAAGAAAGAGAATGTGTAAAGTTTAAAATATTCACTGAAAATAATTCAGGTGAGTAAAGTCGTATCCCCAGAAAGGGGGTTTTGTAGATATTAGAGTAATTTAATAGTTGAATTTATGAGTCATTTGAAGCTAGACCACCATGATAAACCTGAAAGCACTGGATGGCTGTTTAGTCTTAGTATGGGACTTCCCAGTAGTGCGAATCCGCGATCCCGCCTTGGGAGATTCAAACCCATGACCTATCAATCTCGCGTACGAACTCTTAACCTTCAGTTTTATTAGTTAAAAATTCATTTTCATTTTTTTTCCTTTTTTGGTCAAAGTTAATAAAAGAGAAATTATCAGAAGGGGTTTATGAAGATTTTAGAAGTTTCACAGATTGAAATCATGAGTCAATTGAAGCTAGACCACCATGGAAAACCTGGACAGTCGTTTCGTCCTAGTATGGGACTCCTCGGAAATGTGCATCCACGATCCCGCACCCCGCTCAGTGCTCTAGTTGATCAAGCGCTTGGCGCGAGAATGTTAGGTCTTGAGTTCGAATTATGCGGAGCGGGATCGTGGATACGCACTGCTGAGGAGTCCCACACTAGGACGAAACGGCCGTCCAGTGCTTCCAGGTTTTCCATAGTGGTCTAGCTTCAATTGACTCATGATTTCAATCTGTGAAAAGAGAAATTTTCAAAATTTATCTAAACATGGTTAAGTTTGTAAACTGATTCAATGAACTAGTATAAACTGTAAACAGGTAACCAGTTACCATAATGATTGATTAATTAACATAATACTTCTCTTAAAGTGAATAGATCTTATAAATCAAAATTGATGTAAAACTTTATAGATTATTCATCAATCAACAAATTATTACAGAATACAAAGGGAACTATTATAAATTTAGAATCAAAGATCATTTCCATAAACCCTGCAAACTTCGTTCACTACTATTGTTGAATCTATCAAAGTGTCCAATAAAACAATTGAGATACATGCGAAATCAAAGATCATGAAACAGAAGTTTGTTTGAAAAATGGTTCTTTATTGAGTTATATACATGAATTAGTTATAAATCTTAACTTGTGGGGGATCTGTGGCGTCTGTAAGTTTGAGAGAAAAAAAGGCTTCCTGCAATAATAATGTAAGAAATGATTATGATGCACGACGGTGTAAACGACAGCTGATAGCTGTGTCTAATCTTGATATCAGTTTATCAACAGGCAAAAACGCAACCAAGATCAAACAAATATGGAAACAAAGATTAAACGAATTAATCTAGTATTCTATGTTCGAATATTGCAACTAATGTTTAAGACTAGAATTGATCAGTCTCTCATAAGTATATGTGCATCCCTTAATGATTTCTTCGATATTGCCTTAATTCACAAGTATTATAAACAAAGATGAATGATGGCTAGCAATGGAATCCAGTTTAACGAGTGTTTTATCATATTTAACGCTCGTCAGCTGGATGTACCTGAATCTGAATTGATGTCCAATCCAGAACACCATTCGCTTCAAACTCCATCGCGTTATCCACCTATTTACTAAGTCCTGATAGGCACTTGTTTGTGTAAATGGGGTGGATCTTAAATTCATTTAGTATTACTAGTATAGGAGTTGTGGAGATTATTAAGTTTTCGATTGAGAACATGAACCAATTGATGTTAGACCATCACAAGTGAAAACCTGGAAGCACTAGACGGCCGTTTCGTCCTATTGTGGGACTCCTCAGCAGTGCGCATCCACGATCCCGCAAGTATTGTTTACTTGAATCTTCCCATGGATGTTTAGGAGTGCAATTGATCAGTCTCTTAATGGCACATGTACATATTATGCATATTGCCTCGATATAGATAAACTGAAAATAACTGCTACAGATATCGAGAGACAGTAAGTATAATGATGAATATAATAAATGTTATAAGTATATGTAAATATTTTAGAATATAGCACCCAAATGCCCTGGTGCGGCCGAGAGTGGGGAAAGTCAGCTCTCCCTCTCCAAATACTCTCACATGGCCATGCGTATACAACCTCTGTCAGGGAAGTCCTACTCACTGTTTTCTCGTGGTGATGGTGTAGTTCACGAAATTGAGAGAAATAAATGCGAATGTCTGACGCTTTAATTGGGTTTGAGGATATGGAGGATCCACTTAAGCGAATTGGAAAACCATGATTCAAAACCAATGGTACACATTAGCTCCAGAATCCTGAGGGAAGAGTGGCATATGAACATATTGTTGGTCACCGACTACTATAGAACTGCATCTCTTAATCTTGCTCCACTGCCTTGTAGATCAGACCTTTGAGTCAAAGGCTCCCGGTGTAACCCTCTATGAAAACCACCTGGTTCGGTTTGGGCACCCGTGCAGTATCACAGCCCTCACACATATCAAATGAAATCTGTGCGGCGCATATGTATTTGGTGCCTCCTTGTACCAATATCTATGTGTTAAAATAAATTTAGAATATTACACGATAAACTTGAGCTATAACTTATGTTTAGAAATTGCTGAAAATACAAATATTTACTGAATAATAATAAGTAGTATAAATCAATAAACAAAAGGAGTTGATGGGTAGAGAGTAATGACAGAGAACGTAAGCAAACTTAACAACTATAGCGATAAAACGTTCGAATATAAATACTTTTCATTTGCTACTTTATACTACTGACATGTAATATTACAACCGGTAATCGATAGTATAGAATCATTAGATTAGATACTCAATCGATAGGCTATACAAAGACTGAATCATATTATACCGAATACACGATTTACGACCAAATATAGAAAATGATTTATTATTTATTCATTTAAACACATAAACATTGGTACAAGAAGGCACCAAATAGATATCTGCCACATAAATCATTCGATTTGTGAGAGGGCTGTGATACTGCCTGGGTGGCCAAACCGAAGCAGGTGACTCTCTTATGGAGCCACACACGAAGCCTTCGACCTAAAGATCTGATCCACAAGACAGTGGAGCAACGTCAGGAGATGCAGTCCCATGGTTTTTGGTGATCAAGGATTAGCTCGTACTCCATTTGTTCCTTCAGAATACTGGAGCCCATGTACACCATTGATTTTGAATAATCGTTTTCCAACTCCCATAGGTGATCCCTCTATATCCACCAACTCGAATAAAAGGCGTCGGACATTCAAGATGAAAGAATAAATGCTGTTTTACAGTTTCTTTTTAATGTTACATCCTTCAAATTCTAATAACGAATACATTCCTTTATTGTCTAGGTCATATTCAAACTACAATCAATCAATCAACTACAATCTTCTCTACTCATTTACGTTATGATTTAATGAATCAATTCTATGAGAAATTAATTCATTTTAATAAAAATTGGTTAAAACAATTAAGTATTCAAGTATTCTTCAAATCTATCATAATACATAACAATCAAAATGAATTCATTTTAGATTATATATTACAAAATTTATTTAATGCAATTGCTTATGCAAAATAAAATTCCCTTTTTTTAAAAGAATAAACAGAATTACATAATATTATTAAATATGGGGGTGGCGGTGTGGAGATTGTAGTAGGTTTCTAATCGTTGAATGTATGAGTCGATCAAAGTTAAATCATCATTGAGAACTTGAAAGTATAGGACTCTTCAGTCGTGTGCATCCAAGATCCCGCATGGTGCCACGTGCATATAACTACTTATAGAGAAGTCCTATTCACTGTCTTCTCATGGTGAGGGTGTTGTTCACGAAATTGAGAGAAGTAAATGAGAATATCTGACGCTTTAACCGGGTTGGTGAATATGGAGGATCCACCTAATGGAATTGGAAAACCATGATTCAAAACCAATGGTGCAAATTAGCTCTAGGATCCCGAGGGAAAAGTGGCATATGAACATACTGTTGGTCACCGACTACCATAGAACTGCATCTCTTAATGTTGCTCCACTGTCTTGTGGATCAGACCTTTGTGCCAAAGGCTCCGGGTGTAACCCTCTATGAAAACCACCTGGTTCGGTTTGGGCACCCGTGCAGTATCCCAGTCCTCATGCAAATCGAATGGCAAAGTGTGGCGCATACTAGTTCTGTGCCTTCTTGTACCAATGTTTGTGTTTAAATAAGAAGTACCACATACGGGATTCGAACACAGGACGGAAGCCCAACGGTGTTAATGTCTAACTTTAATCATTCCACGAAATTGCGCGGCCATCCACGATTGTCTACAATGAGTAACTGCCTCTAAAAAAGGCACGGTTGGACTCTACTGGCCACAGCTTCTCACTAGAACTCCAGGAAATACCTCATAAAATCCGTCATTAGTAAGTTCCATACTAGGATAAAAAGACCGTCCAGTGCTTGCAAGTTTTCCATGGTGATCTGGTTTTAATCGACTCATGAATTCAACTATTAGAAATATTAAATAAATTAAGCGCCGATTATCATTCTGATAGACACAAATGTGAACTAGTCAAATTAACACAGCAAGATTGGTTGAAGTTACATTGATGCCCATGATGAAAGGAAAAAAACCCAAACACGTTGACTGGCAGTGGTTGGGGTTACCTAACATATGTTCAAACTCAATAGATGGAGACTCATAATCTCACCAACTGATTTGTCATTTTTGCACATAAACTTGATTATGAGTAATCAATCTGAAGTGTTCGATATATAACAGAGTGAATTCCTATAACAACAACAGGCAATAAATACGATTATCCTTCAGAGGCACATTATGTCTCAGAAGCATCGAAACCTAGTCTGAGAATTCGTACAACCATCATTATTTAGTAAAAGTAGAACGCTTTAATTTAGATTTTTGACCAATTTAAAATCACAATAAGAAAATATTCAAAAATAGAACAAATTATCCAGTGGAATGATAATTCAAACGATATAGTAACATCAATTATAAGTAGGTGCAGCAAGACCCGACATTACGACCTAGTAGTTGAACGTCTTAATCACTGAACTACCACTTATACTGATGAGCTGAGAAAAACCAATATATTATTCAATGCGTAATTAGAGAGTGCATTCATAAAATATGAAGACCATACATTACTTGCACATCTTCCTTCACTTTTCCTTTACATGTTTCATAACTCTTCCAATTTCACTGTTATTACAACTTCTCTCTGTTTCCCTTCCTATTCTCCTCATTTCAATCTTATGCTAACAGACATTCCACCTCCCATTGGTGCTACATACTTCATGAGTTGGATACACCACATGTATACGATTGCCCTGTTGACCCAAACAAGAATGTGTAGGCAGGGATCTTGGCGAAGTACTTCACCAACTCCCAATAGTGTATCACTTACAGTTTCTCATTTACCACTTGACCTTAAGATGATATATGAGAAAAGGAATGTGGTATATCCATGTTCACACACTCCAATCAGGATGTGAAGTAGGGAAAATCTTATTTCATCAGTCAGAATCACAAAATGTTGAGTTCTTAATGGTAAATCAGTTCCTTCCGGTAATCGACCGTTAACTGCTGTTATCCCAAAACTACAGTATATTGAATATAGAAGGAGAAAACGTCTATTAATATCTAGTATCTTGTGGGAACTGATCCTCTCTGTCACATTGCAAAACATTACAATTAAGCTAAGCGGGTCACAACTGATATATATCATTGAATGTGCTCATAATAAGTCAACAGATGTGTGTCATCTCTTGGTTGAACGCATCATCACAGTGATGTAGTAGGTGACAAGTAAACGTGTCGTGTCTTAATTTCATAAGTTGGTGAATGATCTACAGAATCAGACAGTCCAATAATCACTTAAGAGTCAAATCTCACCAACCTTATTTCATATAAAATATTTGGTGTCGTAATACTTTATTGTGTAAAATGGCTCATATTTTGACGACTAGTTATGGTCTTTTGAAATTCTTTGATTGAACTGAGGAGTTTTGTATCAATGACTCAGAATTATTGAGCAATTACCATCGTTTGACCACAATCAAGTCAAGTGTTTGATCGTATATCTCATAATCAATACAATTCTTGCATAAAATTCCTCTCATTATAATACATACACTAATTATCTGACAAAAATAACACAGCAAAGAGATCATTCCTCTACAAAAAGCTTCCATTTTTTGCTTAAAACTCTTATTTTAAGCCAACCAGTGACCCATAAGTAAAATGTGAAAAGATATGTAGACCTGCAGCAGCAATTTGGAAGACTCTCCCAATCCCCCACATCGTACAAGTATTTCATGTGCCTGAATTAATGATTGCTCTGGTTGTCAGAAGGGGCATCAGACTCGTGACTTTCGAAGGAACCTGGCTTTCACCATGAATCGTCATAGCACTTCTAAATGAAGACCCAACTCTCGGGACAGAATTTAAATGGTTTGAATTATTTTTTCTGGCTAGCACTTCTTTAGTGAGTCATTTTTCTACGGGATAGGGTCGTTGACCCCATATCTAACCATTCTCTTCTGTCCGGGCTTGAAACGAGTAGTAGCCCCAGGGGGGCTCTAGGTGGGGTTATATGTAGACCTAGTTTACCCAAACCAAGGATGAACAATTAAACATCCCATAAGATTATCTAATAAATATAAATGTATGATACATGCATAAGTGATAATTACAGTTAACGGGGAATAAAATCCAAATTTATATGTTTTCTCTGTTTTGTTTACTTGAATTGAGCAGGCAAATGAAAACATGTGATCATCATCATCATCATAATATGGGAAGTTACCCTCCATTATAGAGCATATATGAATGAACGGACTGGATTTTCTGTTCACAATATATTAGTATTCTCTTTAAGAATTATTAATCCTCATCTCCTTCTTCATGTAGATTATCTTTAATCATATTATATGTTTGATTTGTATCAACACAGTGATTATTATCATCATCATCATCGTTATCATCAGGATTTTTGTCATGTACACGTTTTTGACCACTAGTAAATGAACTAGTAGTAGTATTGTTAGGATTAGAAGACAAAGAACTTGATGAAACTTCCATTGGTTCATGTACTGTACATGATGAAGAAATGACTGGAACAGAAACAACATTATTACTATTAATTGTAGATGCATAAATGGACGATTGAGATAAGGATGAAGTAGATGACTGTACAACAAATGGTTGATTATTTCTTGTTTCATTGTCTTGACAAAGTTTCGATTGTTTTTTTCGTTTAATTTTTAATGCTTCCCATTGTTTTCGATGTTTATGTACATAACGATCCCAATGATTATGATTTAATTGAGTGAAATCTTGTTCATTTAAAGCAATTAATTCTAAATATTTAATCAAACGTAATAATTCATGATCGCGTGAACAATTCACATGAGCATCACGATATGAACGAATCTATGGGAAGAATATTAAAAATCAATTGATATAAATTGCATCTGTATACAATAACTGTTCCTACAGTATCAACTTATTTACCAGGTAAAGATTCAAGTGATACCCTAGGAGTAAGAATTACTGTACTACCCGATTGCAGCAAGATTCTACACTACGACCTAGTAGCTGAAAGTTGAACGCCTTAACCGATGAACTACCACTTACATTGATGCTAGGATTTCCTTATCCGCAAATCTAGTAGAAGTGATCAAATTTCCAACAACTGAGTTGTTGAAAACTGAGTTATGTAGCGTGAATTTCAGTATCCCTTCATAAATCTCTTTCCACTGTTTTTTTTTGCGAACTATATTCCTAAGATTTAGTGTTACATTTTATTGTTGCTACTACAATTATTTCGACCTCTTTTGTTATGTACATCTCGTTGTGGGAATCAGATACGGCAACTTTGGTTAATGCACATTTGTGTCAGGCGATCTGTTGACGTCTGTTTGTCTTTTTATTATGTAAATTTTATGCTAATATTTAACAGTTAATTGATATATGGTCAGTGAAAGTAAATGTGATCGTCCGATGAGCATGGACTGAAAAACACTTGGTCTACTAACTATTAATTGTGACTTTTTTCTCCTATTATCGAGTAAATTCTATTCTGTTCTCTGAATTTCGATATTTACTCATGAGTTGTGTATCTAGTATAACATGATCCAATCTGCGCATAGCCTATCAACGGAGTATCCAGTCTAGTGGTAACATAATCTCGGTCACTAGTATTATAGTAGTATGACGCATCACACGAAAAATATTTCTATCCTCCCGTCATATCAGTAATCTGCTATATTCACCTTTTTATACATGCATTTTTACATCAATCATTATTAAGATATATTGAGCCAAAAAAAACACAACAGAAAACAAGATCAACTTACCCTTAATCCACTCTGTGGATTCATGATAAAATTCCTACGGACATCATCAAACATAATTGTGTTATGCGGTCCCCACTGAGGGTGATTATTCCATATAACAGCTAAAGGTTTAACCTAAAATAATGCAATAATTACAATATATTTAAATGTCTATGTATCTATGTGTGGTTTTTAAGTAGTTTGTCTATTTATTACAAAAATTCTTTGAAAAATCCTATTGAAA